TGTGACTCCCTATTCCCATGAACAGCGTTTTTTCCCGCTATCTATGTATGTTTATTGTATATTCCATATGTTGTGGCACTACGCCCATTGTACTACTGGCCGTGGTATATATATATATATATATATATATATATATATATATATATATATATATATATATATATATATATATATATATATATATATATATATATATATATATATATATATATATATATATATATATATATATATATATATATATATATATATATATATATATATATATATATATATATATATATATATATATATATATATATATATATATATATATATATATATATATATATAGGCCTCATACTGAGACTGATGTTGCATCCATGAAACTTCTTCACCGCAGTTGGGCTAAACCAACTCACACTTAAACTAGGTCATTTAAGCTGGCTAAATTTCATTCCACGCAATTTGGTTTGTTCTGCCTACCTGAATAATCTTCTATTAACTGGCAATGTTGCTTACGCTAATTGCGCTTATCTTCGGTAACCCTGTTAGGTTTGTAAAATTTTTAACTAACTTGTGGACACTTTTTCCTTATCGCGAATTTGTTGCTAACCAACTTACTTCCTATGCTAATTTAGCGAAAAGTTGTGCCACTGTACATGTATGCATTATTGGATTTGTTTTATTTCTTTTTGTCGTTTCAAAAGATCGGCTGTTGCTTGATATCGCCGGTGTGGCTGCGCTTGATGTGCATGTTGACAAGGTGCCTACCTGTCTATTACCCACTACCTCGTCCATACTGGCTCTAGGAGATAGTTGGTCGTTGCTGGAGGGGACGGGGTGCACGGTCCTTGTGGCCGTGTTAGGCTCGAAGAGTGGTTCCATGCAGTCAGTGTGGAGCGGACTACGGTCCAGCCACCGCCTAATCTGCAATTGATTCCCAAATACAACGTGCTTGTTTTTGCATTTGAAGCAGTGTGGGTCGGCTCGGTTTATGAAACGTGGCTCCCACCTATATGCCTGCCGGTCTTGTTCCTCCGGGTTTACACTGGATATGGGATGTGTGGTTGGAGCTGTGGGTGGTGCAGCGCAAGCCACCCATGGTCCCACTGTAGGCGCAGGCGTCCTGTGGCTGGCCACAGCGACAGGCAAATCCGAAACCGGATGCCGCCAACCATATATTTATCACACCCTATGTTAAACACATTTTCCCGTTCTTTAGTGGTCTATTTAGTGTGTTTTGCTGTTAATTTCACTGTTGATTTATTTATATTTCATGGGTATTTCTGATATTCAGCATGCAGGTATTCAAATTCTTTAACTGTAGGGTGAAAATATCGGTTGGAACGCCAACCCGCATTGTTGCCTACCAAACGCCAAACATTCTAGACTTGTGCTCACTCCAGCTCAGTCAGATGTCACTAATCTAACAGTTCTTCAACCCATCGGCAAAAGTGATCATTGTGTCGTTTCATTCCAATGGACAGGTCGCCTCACCATCCATAGCCAAAGTGGCTGTTGTCGGAACTTTTGGCATACGTATCCACTCCGCCGGAGAGCAGCCGCAAGCGCTATGGACTGGAGTATTCCTGATCCCATTCCTCTTGATGATGCGTGGAACCTTTTGCTCACAAAAATGACTTCTCTAATTGAGCAGATGGTTCCTTTCTGTCGTAGGAATTCCTTCAAGAAGTGTCCACCTTGGAAGGACATGGAATTGAGTTCTCTGATGAACAGAAGATGCAAATTGTGGGACCGTTTCAGGCAATCTTAAGCAGAGTCCGATTACTCTTCCTACAAAACTACCAGGAATGTTTGTGTCACGTTGAAGCGTCAGAAACGTCAGCAATATGAACTATCCTTAGTAGTACACTCCAGAACGACACCCAAAATGCTTTTCTCATATCTGAAAAGAAGCACCAGGGCTGGCAGTGGCATCCCTACCTTGTGTTTCTTTGAACATCGAACTTTAGTTTACGCAGACGCTGAAAAAGCCAGTCTTTTGGCCCAGCAGTACGCCTCAGTCTTCGCGAAATAAACTCCCGCTTGTGGCAACCCTGCGTCCAGTTTTCCTCATCTGTTGGATCAAGTTGACATTAATACAATTCTGTGCTTAAACTTCTCCTTGATTTAGATCCACATTCTTCACCCGGCCCGGATTGCTTGCACCTCCTGTACCTTGGGACTGTGGCGCAGTACATCGCCCCTCCTATCTGTCAGCTCTTCCGTCGTTCCTTTGAAGCTGGGCGTCACCCGTCGGCTTGGAAAGTGGGCATTTTCAAACCCATATACAAAGGAGGGTACAGGCAAGATCCAGCCAACTGTCGTCCTATCTGCTTAACGTCGATATTGTGTAAAGTTATGGAGCAGATCTTGAAGAAGGCTCTTTATCTCTACCTCGAGGAATTGAATATCTTCTCTAGTGCACAGCATGGTTTTCGTGGGGCACGCTCATGTACCTTGAACTTACTATTTGATAAGGAGAAATGCGTGAAATCGCTAGAATCCGGTAAACGCCTGGACGTTGTGTTTGTGGATTTCAGCAAAGATTTCGACAGGGTTCCGCACGAAAGACTTTTGCTTAATCTCAGAGGAATCGGTATCGCCGGGATCTTCTCTCTTGGATCTCTGACTTCCTACGCGACCGCACGATGCAGGTGCAAGTGAACGAAACATTTACCGCCCCTGTTCTCATGACTGGTGGAATCCCACAGGGTTCTGTTCTCGACCGCGTGCTTTTTAACGTCTTCATCAATGACTTGCAGTCCACACTCCAGGCGGATTGCCTAATCTACGCCGACAATCTGAAGCTGTGGATGGAGTTATCCAGTATGGAAGATGCTGATAGATTACAATCGACACTTGACCTGCTACATGATTGGTCAATTAAGTGGCAGTTACCAACGAATCGTGAGAAGTGTTCGGTTCTTCCAGTTGGAACGTCTAACCCATTTGGAATCTAGCATATTGGTGGTTCTTGGCTCAGAAACACCACTCAGGAGAGGGATTTGGGAGTGATACTTTCGCCTGACCTCAAATCGAATGAAGATACCACGAAAAAGGTCTCTGCGGCCTACAGGATGATTCACTCTATACGCAGAGCCTTCACTCGCCTAACCCCGGGGATCTTCCGACTCCTGTTTAATTCACATGTACGCCCGCTTCTCGAATACGGGCTACCTGCCGCCTACCCTCTTACGAAATTTGAATGTGATATGATTGAGAATTTTCGATGGCGTGGATCCAAATCTGTTCCTGAGCTGCGGGACCTTTCCTATTCTCTCCGACTCAAACATCGGAACCTTTTTTCCTTGGATTACCATCGTCATCGCGGAGACTTGATCTTCACTCGACGTTTTCTTAGAGGAGAGTTGGGGAGGGAAGTACAGGAATTCTTTCATCTCAACACAGAGCGTTCAACCAGAGGCCATAGTTAGAAACTGTTCAAACCGAGGAGTCATCGAGTGCGATCCAGCCTGGCTTTATCCACTCGCATTGCGAATGACTGGAACCGCCTTCCGGAGTCCATCGTTGTTACTGAGACCGAGGAACGTTTCAACATTCATTGGATTCTCATTTTAGTTTACGAGGATCCAGCTGTTTTTAATACAGCTTCAGTGGTTCTCTGTGGGACTTTGTTCCGCAATGACCCAGGCTATATCCGCAACGATTGGGAAGGGACGGAGCTGACAAAGGAAATTCCTTCTGCTCTCTATCATCCAATGATCCAACAATCCAATGAACGCTCATCAAACCTCGAAGGTTAACTTGCACTGATTACGTGTGGTAAGCATGGAACCGATTTCTATGTTTCCTCTACGTTAAAGTCGAAAGCTCTCACTGGGATTTATATTTGGCAAGCTAAATGAACCAAAGGGACATGAATACACAAAACTCCATAGTTCGCAGAAGATAGTGAAGGTAACAACCAGATAGCACTGTTAGAATGTTTCTTGGCCACGGTAGTAGTATCGACCGTATGGATTGTTATTTCATGCATAATTGAAGTCTCAGATTGTGAGAGTGAACAGCCACCGCAGTGGGTAAGTCTTGCTCGCGGACGCCTTGTGGGAAGGGTTCAGTTAGAGAGTAGATAAATTTATAGTCATTCCCGGAATCCGTTTTGCCTCAGAGGGTTGAAAATGTTTCCGCGTTTTTAACACCATGCCGAGATTTTCTCTCTGATCCTGTAAGATATGCACTTCTTATTTCGAGCTACTTGCTGCGCCTATTCTCCGTTTCTGGTGGACGTTCATTGAACTATTCAACGAGGTTTTTCTATATACCAGGTACTTTGTGTGCAATTGCTGTTGTAGCAAAGCGTACTTAAACTTGCCTCAAAATACATTTTCTCAACAGAATATTTCAGGCTTCGAGATTAGATATTAGCGGCTTTTTTGTCAGCAACTTTCCTATGTGTCTTTTGATTATCTTCCTTTACCTTCTGA